TAGGAACTGCCTTAGTACCTCTACGTACACACCTGCAAAAAAATGTTTTCCGATCAATCTATAAACCCATAGGATACTCGTGTGAATCAGCGCAAGATTTTTATTTGACTACAAGTGTCTTAAATTAAGCCAACACCTTCCTCGGATGGCAACATGAATGAGGTGTGTTTAACAACAGCTACTGTTAAATACGACTATAAGGTAGATTTGGTTTTATGAATTGAAAACGGGTTAAAACAAAAGTGTAACCCATCAAACAGCGTCAACTGTTTGCAAAAGGCAGATCGAGTTTACCACGACAAGGAAAGAGAGACAGAGGGAGAGAGAGAAAGGGATAGAGAGAGAGAGAGAGAGACGAGATAAGGGTAAGGTCAAGAGAACGATACGCGCTACACGCCAACTCATCAGAGTCAAAGCGGGAGAGCATCGAACCCGTGTGTATATGCCTGCCTCCCCAATCGAGAGCTGTTGTGTATGTGTCTATGGCCGTGTATAGGTATTATACACAGGACCGCCCTCGCCGCTTTTGCGGACTTGCATACTAGGGCGAATGACCTCTGCAGTTCGCTCGACCTCTTGTGTTGCCTATATACGAGCAAATCCACATTTCATACTTAAAGCTGAACTTTCAAATCGGGACCAAAAGTGTTTCCAATCTGTAACGACCGTCGTCAATTGACTCTTTCAGGTCCCAGGAACATGGAAAAATACGTAAATGAGTAATATTTTGATAGAGACTTTCCCATATGCTCTTTTGTACTCCAAACACGAATAGCCTTAGTTTTTGGGATAAAATTTGGATTTACTGATGAATGTTACATTAGTACTGTGTAGCATTGCAGTTTACAATGACGAACTTGTTCGCAGGCGGCGGATCGCAATTATTCCTCCGATATGCGCATATACAGTAGCGGCTATGATTTTCTTTTTCATCCGTATCGGATTCTGATGAACAATACGAGCCCGTCAGAGTGGAGCGCGCAAAAAAGCCGCTGCTGCCCGTCGACACAAGGATATCGCTGGCGCGCGTACGCTTCAAAGCAGCCAACTTGAAATTACCACGTCGATCCGACTGTACGTCCAAAGCCTCGAGCCTATCAACTGACAAAGTTCCGCTATGTCCAAACCAATGCCATATTGACATTTGGCGTACGGCCGGCCGCCTTCCCCATAGCGCGTCGTGTCGCGTCGCGCTGAAACCCCGTTCAGAGTTATGAGCCGCTCTAAACGAGCTCTGCCGAGTCGTCGTAGCTCGCTCGCATGTTCCTCTATTATTTCCCAATTCCTTCGTGGATAAAACTAAACTCTGATCTTCTTCAACTCTTTGCGGAACACGAGAAAATGAGTCAGCCCGTTTGCCTCTCTGACCGACTTTCCGAGCGACGAGACGTTTTTCTCGTGTGTTTTTTCGACGCCATGCTCAGCCCTTGACGCAACTAATCGTCGTTGATGAACGACGCCAACTTGTAATAGAATGGACTTGAAAGACGAGCTAATGCTCCGATGATGTGAATACATGAAAATATACCATGTACGAGTTCAAAAGGAAAAGGTTTAGTTACACAGCAGAGTCGAAGTGGGTTCACAAAAGGGGTCGAATTCCCTACGATCGCAGGCTGTACACGTTGACTGCGTGTCAGCGGTACCTAAAAGTCTCTGGCAAAACGCAGTGCAGCTGAAATATTTTAAATACCAAATTCGACGTCATTGTATAATCGCGGAAAGAAGCCGAAACTCGCGGCCTTGAACTCTCTCGCTTAAAGAGTTTCGAGGGAAATAATTAAAAGCTGCTGAGCGATGGATCAGGACATTACAATGACGTCGAGCCAGCGTCGAAGTTCTAAACAAAAAATCAAGCGCCAGTGCGCACGGGGGGAGGGGGGGGGGCAACGGGCGACACAGGGGAACGCGCTGCGAAACGAAAAACTGGAAGGAAGAAAAAGGAATTGCAACCTATATACGTAGGAGAGGCAGGGCCAGGGGACGCCGGTGCGCGCGCTCTCCGCCGGAGAGAAAGTTCATAGAGCACATCGTGTACAAAATTGTTGCTACATGGGGGAATCTCTTGCTGCCCGTTACCCAGGGGTTTGCTTGCTCTCGCTCTCGCTCTCGCTCTCTCGCTCCTGCGCTAGCTGTATTGATTCACCGGAGAGTCGATGTGCGCGCGCAGACACACCCCCGTTTCTGCTGCTGGCCGGGTTAACTCCGTACTGTGCTGCGCGAGGCCAACTCTCACTGACACGGCTAAAGAGAGAGAGAGAGAGGAGTATAAGGGCGGCGACGCGACATGCCGCCCAGACATTGCCGGTGCTTTACCTTCCCCTGTGTTATATATGTATACGTGCGCTCTTTTAGCTTTCGGTTTCTCTATATGTATTAATCCTACCCCTCTTCTCTTTCGGCAACATCCACACACACCCGCGCGCGCCACCCTAACAACTGATTCATGTTGGGATCGCGCGCGCCTGTCTGCGGCGATTATACCAGAGACCAAGTACGGCAAGTTTTCCTGGCGCTCTCTTCATTTCGAGGTTTGTCGTCTTTACAACCCTACTCGACTTGATCCTGCAACAACTGCACTTCTTTTCTCTTTGCTCTTTATAGTTCGGAAATTCCAGTCTGACTAATTCCGACACTTTATTCGATACTATAACTCATCTTTGTCTGATGTAATGAAATGGAAAGCCTCAAACAGAGTCAAATATTTACCTGCGCCCGAAACCATACAATGCCTGGCACTCTCGCTCGACTACTTTGAACGCTCATTGATTTTCAATAGCGATTCGCGGCAGACAGAAAAAGGCCACTTGTTACAAATACCCGATATGCCTTTGCAAAAATATCAAGTTGCATAAAAGGGACTTGCATAATTAGTGCGCCTGTGCACACAGGACTTACCTCTCTTACAGGATTCATAATCTGCCCCATGTGGGTGATTATGTTTTTGGGCACAAATAAAAAAATAAATAAGCTAGCCAGGGGACTCTATAATCTCACCTTTGCATCAAAAGATGAAAACAATTCGCAATTTTCTGTACACATCTATAGGCGAGCTGCACAAGAGCTACGTACTGGAGAACTGAAAACAAAGTCAGAGAGGCCAAGTTCCATTACGAGATAGTAAAGCAGTTAGTTGCTGCAGGTTAATTCCTCGCCAAACTTTCTGCGGTAGGCAACTCTCCTCTCAGAACTTTCAGACACCAAGTTTGCCGTTCACGAACGTCTGTGTGCTTCTGCAATAACACTAGCGTTTCAATATCCGGAATGCTCCGAGTATTTATTAATCGAAAATATATGTAGAACCAATTTTTTGCCGCTTTTTTTTTTGCCCCGAGAAAATATCGGAGTTTTGTTGTAACGCGCCGAGAATGCTGGATGGAACGCGCGTTCCCAGCTATGCTGTATATCACCATGTCATACGAAATATTTCGACCTTTTGATGTAAACGTAAATACACGTTCGTTTTTTTTTTTTTTTTTAGTAACGTCCACTTCTATTGTTCTCGGAGAATTTAGCGTTCGATTTTTAACCGTTTTGTTTTTTGGAATTCAGTTTATCGAATTTCCACTCTGTACAAGTTTATTTACATGCTGCACGTATAAACACTAGTTGTGCGCCAGCGAAAGCAGGGAAACTTGAAATCCAATTTGGCGTCTTATCGATCCCTCGTTTGGTCGCAATAACGTCTGCTTGAATAATTCAACTGGTGGTTTAGCGTCTACACGACGAGGCGAGATGAGCTACCGTTTCTAGTTTTTTACTAAAAATAAATCAAAACCCCTGTGTACATTCCCGGAAGAATTGCTTAGTTAAAATAAAAAATGAACCATTTTTTTTATTACCCAGCACGAGCATCGAATCCTTCGTACACGTGCTTTTAATCTCTTTCACACTTCTTTTGAAGATGAGAAAGCCAGTGCAGAAAGTAACTTTTTTCCTCGCCAACTATTTTCTTTCAAGACTCGCACACATGCTCGCGCTCGTACTCTGATTTAGTTTAGGCGAGTTTGATGCGGTCTTGATGTAGCCAAACTAACTGAGAGGAGAGAAAGTTTCTATCGAATTTTTCTAAAGCTCGACGTCGACGAAAAAAAAACTAAAAAAGTCCAAACCGCAAACTTGAAACTAGAGCGGGATTGGATAATAAAACGTTATAAAATGGAAAATTAATCCGATCACAACAAATACACATTGCCATTGGAGCGTGACCGGATACAATGAAACGTTTTCGACAGCATAAATCTATTGGTCATGGACTACTTTTTTTGTTTTGTTCAGCCGACGATTGTGAAACAGGCGCAAGCAAAACTCTCAATTTGCTGCCAGCCACGACACGGCGTCGCGCGATCGATATCAATGACTTTTGAGCCGCGCGCCAAGTGAAAATTAATGACCGGAAGATTATCCGCAGACTGACAACCTATGACCTTTCGATAACAATGGAAACGTCCTTTTCGCGCGCAATTTAAACGCTCATAAATCTCGGACAGGCAGGCGAAAAATGATTCAACATTATTGGTGCATGTCTTTTTTTTACTCGATAGCTCATGCAAAAAATAAATATTTTTTTACACATTGGAGCTATTGGAATTAATTGTGCATGATATCGACGCAACATTTGTATTTGCTCGACAAGCGTATTACATAAGCATCTAAATCACCGTTATCGTGTCGAGTGATAAAAAAAGTCAAAAGAGGGAGAGATAGAGAGAGAGAGAGAGAAAGAGAAAAAATAAATTGTGCATTATAGACGCTCGATTACACTCGATGTCACGCGCGCCATGTATCGCATTCTCGAGCGTCGCAAACACACGCGCGTCCCTTCTTATCTCCACTGAAGGTTATTGCTCGATTTGCAACTGGCAAAGCATGCATGTACGTATACGCGATTATATACCCGCATTCGTTGCTGCAGAAATTTTCAAAAATACTCTGTTTACTAGCACAAACGCTATTTAATATGGCTCCAGTATGTGTAAAATAACTGAACTCGTGCTTACCTTCGCTTTCTTGTTGTTCATCAAGGAACGATGCCTTCTGACCGCTCGCTTTCCGGCTTCTCCACGTAGTACACTTTCTACGACTGCAACAGAAAATATTTCTCATTGTAGAGTTGAAACTTTTCTATCGCGCGAGTTTTCGCAAAACTTTAAAAGTTTTTTTCGAAATATAACAAGCACGTTTTCTGGAATTTGCAGCAAAAGTTCAAATGAATGATTTACCTCCTTCACCTATGACCTTGATCTGTACTAGATGCGGATCTTGCGAATGGTCTTCGAGAACCGTATCATCAATCATAGACACATCCTGCGAATGAAAACAAATCATCAGTTAGAGAACGAAAAATATTTTGAGCGCTTATCAACAATATTGTCTATAACATTCAGAAAGTATTTTTATCCCAGATACTTGATATCGATTGGCTCGTTCGGTGAAAACATAGCGTGTTTTCAGAGATCCAATCCATGTTTCAAGTAAACGATAAAAATGATTATTGATTGTCGAAGCCAAAGAAAATAAAACGAACGTCATTGTAGAGCACTTGTAGGCAAGTGCCACAGGTCCGAGATTGCTCGGCTCGAGGGATTTTTCAAGGCAATCAATCCTATCCGAAGAATAATTATTATACTCCGAACGAGGTATCAAAAATATATCAAATGATATCAGAAAAATGTGATTCGGGAACGAAAAAAAATGTCAACAGTACATATCAACAGCAGAAATTCAAATTAGTAAGGAGAGAAAATTAGTCGTAAATCCTTTGACTTGGCAAATCGACGTCCAACTTGTTAAAAATAAATCGATCAATTAGTGTAAAAAAGGAATTGTGTAGATTAACATACCTGCCCGTTGGTGTGTGCTCCGAGGACAACAGCAGTGAACCATTGAGTCGTGCCGTCTCGATAAACACGAACGCGAAAGCCAGCCAGCAAGCTAGGGGTGTCAATGAGAATACTCTGAGTGTCCTGTAATTCGACCCATCTCCTGACTGCTTTGCCCCAGTGGGAAACTCCTTTCGTCATCTCCCAACATTCCTTGAAAACAGATTTAGGAGAAAAAAACGTGAGAAAAAACAAGAGCAAAAACAAAGGTTAAAAATGCAATAATAGCTAAGTGTGGGTGTGTGTACGAAAGCGAATTGAAAAGTCTATATAGCGTTGCTGCGAAAACACAGCGAGAGGAGAGCGACCCCGCCCTTATCGATTATACCACGCACACGTTTGCTCTCTCTCTCTCTCTCTCTCTACACACACGCACACATCTAGACGTGCATTTATAGTGCGCATACATATATATAATAGATACATCGGACAAGAGAGTTTCACCCTCGCCTCTCGCTCGCTCGCTCGCTCTCTCTCTCTCTCTCTCTCTCCCCTTTATACTGCGCGCGCCCGGCTGTATTTTGCTGAACTTCATTTGCACAGTTATAAGCCGTAAAGTTCGCTGTTACTACTAGGCAGTAGAAGCAGCGGCGCTAGTATTACTACCAGCACCCTCCCTGGCACGGAAATTCGCAACGGAGCTTCATGCATCAACGAGCCCATTCAAAGAAAACGTCGCGCAGCAGCTCGAGTTATTCAAAAAGTGTTTTATACCCGGCACAGAGAGAATTTCGCGCCGGCCTGGCAATTGCCACCGCCTGCCTGCTACGCTATATCGAGTCAAAAGAAGTGGCGACAAAATAAAGAGACTCGCGCGCGCGCGAAAAATCAAGATGAAATCTCGTCGAGCTACGGATAATTGCTCGAGTAGAGAGAGAGAGAGAGAGAGAGAGTTACGTCAGAGGATCGTTGACGCGAGTTACGTACGCCGCATTGGTTACGTGATGGCGAGCTCACGACTGCAGCCGTCACTTATACACGTATACGCAAACTGCTGCTGCTGCAGTCGCGCTAATAAGCCAGCACGAAGCAATTAGAAACGCGTTAGCAAAGGAGAAAATGTAGATCGGACGGCCCCTGCCTTTTCTTTCGTCGTCGTCACTGTGGTACTGGGTCGACTGTCGCGGCTCCGTGCCTCCAAAGACTAATTAATTAAAATCGAGCTTCCCGAGCACAGGGGGAACTCAATATCCTTTTCGATCTATCTTTCACGCGTGCCAAATGCAATTATCTTCTTTTTTTTCGTGTTATTCCATCGACTAACGCGTTAGATCTTGGTCGATCGAAAAACATTCCTGTGCGACGAGCGAATCTTGGCAGTGTAAGGTCCTCTGACCCTGAACCATAGTAAAAGTATGCCAAAGCTTGGCTTGTCTGCCGAGAAATTGCAAGTGACTATTTATGCACACAGGAACCGAGAGAGCACGAGACACATAGAGAAACAAAAAACGGAGTGTCAAGAGAGAAAAAAAGCAGCAAAACGAGTCGCTCCTTCTCTTTCGTCGTAGGAGTAGGAGGCGCCAAAGTATACTCGTTTCGCGATTTACATACAGCACGCACAACTCGTTTCTCTTCTTCTTCTTCTTCTTCTTCTTCCTCTTCTTCCTGGCAGTACTTGTTCGTTTGAATTTTTATGAATAATCAGTCCTTTGCAACGTCCAGCGAACTCAGAAAGGGACAGGACAGACAGAGAGAGAGAGAGAGAGAGAGAGAGAGAGAGAGAGAGAGAAAGAACGGCTATATCTCTTCTTCTTTTTTTCCAACATACATCTGTCGGACGATGTTGCGCTAGTATTCGCCGTGTTTCCCGTTCGCTCCAGGTCTCTTCCTGCTCTCGCACTCGGTAACGGTCCTTGCTCTGTGCCGCGAAAAATATAGCGTTGCACCTTCCACGAGCGCGCGTCACGTTTTTGCTTTCATGTACATACAGCAAACGTTCGGGTGTACGCGAAAGAAAAAAGTGGAAAAAAAAGTTGAGAAAACTTTCATACACACACAGAGGCGCGCAAGGCGGCGGCGATTGCGAGATGTGCGTTCCTTCTTTTTTCTTGCCTCAACAGACCTCGAGAAATCCGGTTAACCTAGCTCTCGAGTCGTGGCGCGGCAGCGACAGGGGCTTCAAGTTTTAACGGTAAAAGTTCAGGCAGTTTAATTACTTGAAAACAATTCTCCGACGAGGCGGCGGTACTAGCTGCTACGTATCCGAGGCAACGGCGGCCCTGAAAAGCGAACGCTCGGATTCCCGACGCGCCGAGTGAAATTGGCGCGTAATTAGAGTCTGAGTCTGCAAAAAGGGGACTCGCTGCTATTATACCACTGCTGTCATCTGCTGCGCGTGCATATGTAAAACGCCGCGCGTATCGAAGCTCGAATTTTTCGACGCAGCGCGCGCGGGTCAACGCTCGTGCAACTCGTAGTACTCGGCAAAAGCCATGTTCGAGTACTCGATGCGATAGCCCGAAAACGTAGATGCGTCCACGCCGACCTTGCGACCGCAAATTCGATATCGTAATTCGCTCGAACGCATTGGCTTTTCCGGCGACGTTGTTACATCAGTGACTTTTCCATTGAGCAACGACGGGACTATTTTCTAGTCTCATAATTTCGCGGTTATCAATGGGATTAGAGAGTCTCGCGCGATTTAAGCGTAATGAAAAGTTGCTACAGTGCCGCTACAGCTACCACTACATCGCTATACTGCGCCGCTGTTGCTGCTGTGCGATTTTTAAGGGGAAAAAATGCAAATCTTTGCGGTGCGATGCAGGTCACGCACACGCGCACACACGCGTGCAGGCAAGTACAGGTAGGCAGGCAGGCAGCACTTTGCCAACGATATAGACCGGAAATTCTATATCCTTTGCGAGCAACAACTTTCTAGCGACTTGTGTACACGCAACCGACAAGTATTCAAACTTTGTTCCCTGTTGTTGTGTACGTGTTTGTTGTGTGTTTGTGTGTGTGTGTGTGTGTGTGTGTGTTCACATGTGTAGTGCACTTACGTCGACTAGGGGAAGTTTGTCGGAGTTGAGAAAGGCCAAGCGCCTCGTCTGTATAAATTCGATGGGTCTCTTATCGACAGGCAATTCCTCTAGTTGGACCAAAGAATAGTAAGTCTGGAAGCAAAGACGAAAAGTTAAGCTTTGTCTTTTACAAGTAACAATTTGATTAGTTTTAAAATTGGTATACTGACGATCACAGGCCAGGGTATGATTTTCGTCGGTTTATGAGCGGCGCGAACGGATTTGCCGTTGAGCCTCAGTCCGTTTGCGTTGTGATAATTGTCCGGCGAGCACTGCCGGTCGATCTCGACGAGATGCCTCGGGCTCGATCTCGATTCCTTGGTACCTTCGCTCTCCGACCAGTACAGGCCCTTCTCCACGAAGAAGTAGGCGAAATCCTTCTCTCGGTGAACCTGAAGCCATTCTCGCTTCCTCCATTCTATGCCATCGTATTCGACTAGAACCTGCAACAATAAGATATCAACAAAATGATTACAAGCGTGTTTAAGGCAACAGCCACGAGTTACGTCGATTTGTACGTTTGAATGAATCATACTCGAGAGCACACCGACGGATCGTCGTCGTCGATCTTTAATTAAAGAATAAATAGCACGCATACATCTTCATTGGGTTGCAAGACGTACGCGCACTCGTACGCACACATACAGATATACTTTGACACACAGATCGCTGGCGTCTGTACAAAAAGTGATTCGAGCGAGTCAAAAGTCACGCGAGCCATTGGCGCGTTCAATTAGCGAATCGTCGCTTGTTATAATTCTGATACTCTATATATTCTCAAAAGCTTCGCTAATTAACGTTCATATACATCGAGACAGACGAGGATGAGTCTTCATGAAAAATACATTCACTCGTGAGTCGTGTATATAAAAGTAGTAACATCAAAGGGACGTATTTCGTTGTGAATTCGGTCGTTGAAGAAAGAGAGAGAGAGAGAGAGAGAGAGAGAGAGAGAAACGACCAGGCGCTCGCCCCCACGTGCCTGTACTATAAGTATATGAATTATTCAAACGTTCCATGAAAGGCTGTTCGCGGCGTGCGAAAAATATATACTTGTATACTTTTTTCGGACTATTATACGTGTATATTTTGACAATAGCTCATCGCTATTGCCTTACTTTCTGATTAATAATGAGCTCGTATATGCAGGCGCAAAGTTCGAAAACATTAGCATGCGAGAAGGCAAAAAAACAATGGCTGGTGCACAATAGGCAAAGGAAAACGTTAATGACTGGCGCACAAACTGCGAGTCAGCGAGCGCACGACCGAGAGAAAGAGAGATGAGTCTTTCCGATGAGCATCGTGGCATTATGTAATTATGTATATATACACTTTACACACATACACACACACACATACACAGTAAAGGCAGCTCGCCTCGCTCGCTCGTGAAACTGGGTTACAAGTCGAATCGTCGATGCGTTCGAGAACGTAACATCCGCATGCGCGAGCTGCTGCCGTAATCGCGACCTATCCAGCGCGAAAATGTGCCGCCTTATTTGCGCTACAAGTTGCTGCATATAAGCTAACGCGATCTTTTAATAATCCAGCGGAATTCCCAGTGCGGTCGATGTATGTTACATGAATCAGGCAGTATACCACCTCGGTGTACATCGAGGTCAACGCTGCGTGAATATAATTGAAATTACGGATTCGATGCATTATTCATCCTACGGCAGGGATTATATCGAGACTTTCGCTTTCGTTAGCGATGATACATTTTTTAAGAAAGCCAATAATCAATCGTTCGAATAATGCACTAGCATTATCGATTCGCTTTTTCTTTTCTCTCTCTCTCTCTCTTCTTCGAGTGCTGGCAGCGACGTCGAATTTGCAACATGGACGCGTCGCAACGTAAGCTCGAGTAAGGTATGCGTGGCATAGGTAGCTCTCGTCAAGCACGTGTCAATTAACAACAATCCCAATATCGAGTATCTCTTTGCTTTTAAAGGATTAGGATGATCCAGACACGTACATAAGCGCGCGTGCACATGTCTTATCGAAGGCCGACACGTGCACAAGTAAAACTTCTCCCTACATTTTGCTCACGTTCATATATTGCCAGAGAGCAAGAGAGATCGGTCATCGGGGATTTAATTAGTATCGTCCTCGGCGACGAGTATAAAAGTACGAGAGAGAGAGAGAGAGAGAGAGAGGCGCATCTCTGAATTATCGCAATGACGCGCTGCTTTGATAAGCCAAAGTGAATGTACTCTGAGTCGGTTATGTGCCTGCGCATCTGTGCGTATTTGTACGTGCTACGTCGGTATATATGTGTGTGTGATTTGCTGCAGGGTTAAACTTTATCGCGTACATAACAGAGAGATGGGTGGAGAGTGAAAGTTCGTATAACTTTATAATGGATATACTACGCAGCATTAGCCCCTCTTCCACGCATAGGCGTAGCAGTCGCACAGGCGCATATATACACGCCAGAGGAATAATTAATGATTCGAGTTGCAAAGTCAACAACAAATGTAGTTTTAGCAGTTAGCAAGTTTGCATGTATACGTGTATGCAGGTCTTTTGCTTCGGCAGCAACTAGCGAGCTTTTTTACCTTCATTTCTCAAGTACGATTTTCTGATTGCTATTACAATGAATTGCTTCGTTCTTACTTTTTAGTCATCTTTGTTTGAGCCTCGGCTAATGGTTCGCTTTAATGGATGTACAGCGCAAACGGTCATTTTATAGCCATTGATGAAATATGTGCGAGCGTCGTGGGACGCCATCCCTCGTCTGAACCTTGGACCTCTACTGACATCCCACGGGACCAAGCCTCGACTCAAATTTTACACGCTCGGAGAATATTAATCTGCGATAAATATCTCTTCAACGACTTTATCTGGATGATTAGTCGATAGGATTTCTAGTTTCCTTGTAACACTTTTAGCATATCTAACTCATCCGAATTGATAAAGAGAAAAACTATAGGCGCAATGAACATAAAAGCTTCGAAGAGACGGCGGCGATAAGAGGTTCACCTTGAAAGTCTTCCACTTTGTACTTGTTTATCTCCTCGTTGCGTAACTTTTTCATCTTCTTTTTATTATTTTTAATCCTACACACACGAGCGACGAGCCGACGTTATTAATTGCTCGATTTGAATTATCCTCTCCTGGAAGTGCTACCTGTATTGACAGAGCAAATAAAGCAAAAATAGTTTTACGCAATGTCGTTAAAACTGATTCATGACTTTTAAAAAATGATTCGAAAGAACGCGTTATTAGTAAAAATGTTTATGTCAGTCGTAAAATTGCCGCGCAAAGGTTATTGCTTCTCGCCGCGATAACGAGAGCAAAATTCGAATTGACAGGTTAACTGCTCGGCCACTAGGTGGCGGCGCCTCTCGGGGAAAACGGAGGCAATGGCCGCCCCGCGCTCGCCCCGCCTCTCTAGAAAACAAACTCCGCCCGTGACTCTCGTTGCCATGGTAACTCGAAGGCAGCCATCATTGCTCTCCCTCCAGCTTTTCTGTTTCTTCGCGTGCTCGCGAGCCCCCCACCAATCTATACCCCAGAGAGAAACGCGGGAAACTTTCGTTGTTTACATTTTCGCTTGCTCACTCGAATACATTGATTGATTTCGTCTGCTGTATGCCTACGCTACTGTTTTTAAGATTCAAGCGCCAACTATGATCGCTCTTTAATGCAGGTCAAGTGTATACTTTGATTGGTGACGTTACCGAGATTAACACCTTAATTAATGCCGATGCAAGCTACCTTAGCATTGCTCTTGCAACACTGAATCGCTCGTATGAATATTATTAACAAAAATTTACCTGTGACGTTTCCTAATTAATGTTAAAAATTGGACAACTTCAAGTACCCTAGATCTATATTAGATAATGCACTCTCAAAAAATTGAGAAAATCAAGTCTTGATTAGAAAATAAGTGCCTCGCACGTAACAGGTGTGATTATACTGAATTCAAGCTGATTACGTTAGTCAAAAATCAAGTAAAAGTATTTACGATAACTGGTAGAAAAATTATCAAATATATAAAGTGCGTTCTGCAATAGTCGTTTGGCATTTTGCATTTTCTGACTAAGAGATTAGAGAGGACAGTGCAAGGCTGCTTTATATACTGCCTTTGAATTCACTGGGTCACGCCCTGATTTTATTGTTGATGCAACTTCGGAATGCACTTGCGAATAGTTGGCTATTGTCTGCTTGAGATTATATCATTCCTCGATGGTTTTTTACATGTGAATTAATTATCAAGATTATCATGAAGCTTTGCACCTGTACTACACGAGAATTGGCATTAAGGCCTCTAATTCTTTATTTTTGAAATTTTTCCTTAAAAATTGTATCTTGCAAGACTATGAATCTCTCAATAATGCCTTCTCCAATAAAAACTAAACACTTTTCAGCTAGATAGTAATTTTTCGATCTTCGAATAGAAAATATTAGAATTATCGTTTAAATACAGCCCATCAAACTTCATTTATAGCTGAGCTCACGCTAGCAGGAACACGACATCCACCCATCCTGCCGGCGTTAACATCATCCACCCGGTGAGGTGGCGCTCAAGTCGCGCATGTGTATATATTAGAGGCGCGGGGCGCGTAGGGAGGTGTAATTTTGGGACAAGGAACTCTAGTCGGCGCGTCATAGCGGGTGCATCGCCCCCTCTCGGCGATATTGCACCCACGACTAGACTCCCGACTAATCACCTACGTATTTATCTATACAGATATACTGGTCTGGGAGCAAGCTACCTTTTCGTAGGAAACTATAAGTAGATGGTTGGAATAAGGTGTTTCCGATGGATTTTGACTCACTGAACACGAATTTGGTGGTTAATTTAGGCTCCGCGTGGTACCATATTGTTAAAAACCCATTTATTTAAACAAATTACCAAAATGGTCGAAAAGGGATTTTACAACATGATATTCATGCTCTACGGATTGAAAGAGAAAAAGTCTCTTGTAATTTTTCTCTGAAATGCATATTGATTGAGTTATAAGCAATTGAAAATGAAAAGCAATTGAAAGCTAATTTCGGGATTTTCGTGTAATAACACGAAAAAACAGTATTTTCGATGTTGTCAGCGTTTTTTATTATTTTTCAAACATCCCTTCATAAGGTCTCATAGTTTTTTTCAAGATTTCTAAGGATTAACTAACACTATTACACAACTATACAGTACGAGGCGTACTTTAAAATTTAATATTGGGAATGTAGGCAAATTATGATCTTATTTGTAGCATCAACCACGGACGCATGCATATACGAATATTCTTCATGACAATTAGTGCAATAGTGTTGGGGTGGAAAGCTCGTTAGCATGATATATAATTACTGCGAAATAAAAGGAAAAGTTTTAGAGGAAAAAATATATGGAACACGGTTGTGGGTGTGTGTTGAGAATGTCTATTCGCAGTGGTTCTTTCGCCCTTTGACTAGCTGTTGTAACCACAAAGACATCACAGCCCTCGCG